TGGGATGGAGTAAACCCCCAACTCTTGGTTTCTCCCTTGGGAAGAAAAAGTTGGAGCATGCAATCAGTGTTCTGGCTTTTTGGAGGGCTGCCCAGGGACTGGTTTCTGTCTTCCTGACTTAAGAGTGCTGACAAGCCTAGCATACTGTCCATGAGGAGGGACTACTGGGAACAAGAAAGAGATGGCTGGGTGGCTTGCCATTGCTACAGAGCACCTGTGGAGTACAGGCAGAGGCCAGCATGGCTCAGTGTCTTCCCCCACGGGTTATGAGAGGAAAGAGTGGAGGCTGCACACATTGTTCTATTTTTTTTTTCAGCTGGTTTCTTTCTTACTCAACTCATTTTGCGCATAGGACCTGACATGCTTGGGGGCTGATGAGAGCTAAAGTGAATTGGGAACATTTTAATGTCTCTAGAGAAGTCATGGTGCTCCAGACAACAGTGGAAGAAGAATTGCAGTGTGGAGAAGCCATTAAGGCCTCTTTCATGGAGAGCTTGGGAATTCACATGTCTGTAGAATGCTCATCCATGGGCCTACGAATTCTTACTCACCCTGGCTTATTTATTGGCAGGAGACTGTCTCTACAGAAACCAATCTGTAAGGCTAAAGACTGGAGAAATCACTGTTTTTGTTTTTGTTTTTTTGTTCATAAATATACCAGCCCAAAGTAACAAGGCATACAGAGAAGCACAGAGGCTAGGATCTAGCACACGTACAAAACAAATACTTGAATTTATAGTTGCAAACACAGGTAATGTATTTGTGGTAGTGATGATCCGAGAGCTGGGGAAATGAGGCAGGGACAGAGTGAGAGATTAGCAGACATGGAAGGCATTGGAAATGAGCAGATACAAACTGTGAGGTGATAAAGCCTAATCACTGTTGACAAATGACTGCAAAGCTTCAGCAGCTTTCTTACCCGGGCAGAGGAGGTGGCTGGCAAATTCAAAGCTAAAGTAATGAATGAAAAAGAGGAAAGAAAGTCTAGGACGGGGAGAAAGGATGTCACCAAGCAGAGCAAACAGCACATAATGGAAGCAGATGGGAGGAGAGAAGCAGAATGACAAAAGAAAATGGCCTTTGTGTAGGTGTGGAAACCAGCTTCCTGAATCTCGATGTATAATGGACCCCAAAGAGGAGACCCCAATAGGACACAAATCTTCAGAAGGTAAAAGCAGAGAAATAATTTTGACTGCAACAAGACAAAAGCCACTTGTTATATAGGAAGGCCCACTGCCATAACTGTCAGTGAATTTTCCAGCCTAAAAGATGCTATATTCCAAATACTGGAAAAAAAAAACAAAAGCAAAAACCAAACAAACAAACAAATAAAACAACCCCGAAAGCTCCTAACCAACAGCAAGAGTAGACAAAGATGAGCAGCAGCTGCAGAAGCTTTTCACCGCTCACTTAGTGATGAGCTTTATACAAAATAAGGCAAATGTTTATTCTGTGGACTGAAACACACACACACACACACATACACACAAACACAAGCATGTGTGTACGAAGCTCACTGGTGAGGAAAATATCCAAACAAATATACAATATCCTAATGGCTGTGAGTGAATAATTTTTTACCCATGCCATAGAGATTTAAAGAATAGTATAAAAAGCTTAACCATAATGCATTCCTTTGGAGAGGGCTCAAGACAAGGTTTCCCTGTGTAGCTTTGGAGCCTGTCTGGAACTCTGTAGACCAGGCTGTCCTCAAACTCATAAAGATCTGCCTGCCTCTGCCTCCCAGAGTGCTAGAATTAAAGGAATGCACCACCACCACCTGGCTTCATAATGCATTCTTGACTGCACAGTCAGAAGTATGCAATTCATGATACCAGTAGCAAAGTACAAGGGAGTGAAGAAATAAGAGTAGAAGCCTTGTGTATGTGTGATCAGCTTAAAAGAGGCTGTTACAATTATAAGGCATTTTAAAGCCAAGACAAAACAGAAGCCAAATGATCATATAAAATATGACTCTATAAAACAGACTCTAAGTCAAAAAAACTATTCCAAAAGACAAAGATACTATGTAGTGATAAAATAGTCAATCCACCAAAAAAAAAAAAAAAGTGCTTGTAACTATGCACACGACCAACATCAGCACCAACTCTATGAAACAAACTGGGCAAGTACCGTTCTGGGCCCCTGCACATGGAGTTTCATGTTGGAATGCTCCACTGAAGCATTTTCACTTCCTTAGTCTCTCCTGCAGTCATGGGGCACTGTCTGCCTTTCATTCATCTAGTTGGATTATGATAGTTGGAATGAACATAAGCAGATACATTTCTCATCATTATACCCAGAACAATACTGTATGACAGATCTTCAATTTGCATTGCATTGGCAGTACAAATAAGTATTAAGCATCCAATAAAAGGATAGAGCATGAGTAGGTTTGAGTATCCGTGATGATCCCGGTATCAGTCCCCTGTGTATGCCCAGGGGTGATTCTTCAAGGCATTCCACTGTCAGGAATGAAGCACACATTCCTTCCAATTGGAACGTTGTCCAGAGTTGAGAGGATTTTAGGTCATACAATAAGGCTCAATAAATTTAAGATGTTGAAACATACCAAGTTGCCTTTGTGATGGCAATGAAATGGAACTAGCATAATAGTAGAAGGAAAACTAGAGAAATCAGAAATAAGTCAGAGTTGAACAATACATTTTGAACAACTAGTGAATTAAAGAAGAAACTCAAAATAATATAGAAAGGTTGCTTGAGACAAAAGCAAAACACAGCATACTGAACCTTACATGATAGCAAAAATAGTCATAATGAAAGGTTTATAGGGCTGACTGAGTACATTGAAAAATATCCTAACAATGTAACTCCATACATTGTGTAACTTGAACAAACTAAGCCCAGAGTCAGCAGAAGGGTGAAACAGTAAACATTTGAATATGGGTACATAAAAGAAGGATTGGAAGCATGCCAGAAAGTAAATAAAACTGCTTTTTTCATGATAAACAAATCTGACAAATCTTTCATTGGAAAGAGAAAAAAGAGAGGAGACTCAAAAATGTGAAATTAAAAACAAAAGAATAGCCGGGCAGTGGTGGCATACACCTTTAATCCCAGCACTCGGGAGACAGAGGCAGGTGGATCTCTGTGAGTTCAAGGCCAGCCTGGTCTACAGAGTGCATTCCAGGACAGGCTGCAAATCAATGCAGAGAAACCCTGTCTTGAAAAAAAAAAAAAAAAACAAAACCCCAAAAGGACAGATTTTATAACATGTCACAGAAAACAAATATAAAAACCAATGTGAATAACTATATATATATATACATATACATATTTGATATGCCAAATTTTTGAGTAACCTGGATGAGATGGCTCAATTTCTAGAAACCTGTAAGACAGTATCATGAGGAAACAGAAAATCTGAAAATCTGAATAACTTTCACCCAGAAGAGAACCGAGTCACAGCTCCAGCGTCTCTCAGAAGGGAAAATGGTGGACAAGTCTACCAAATACTTGAGGAAAAGTCCAGGCCACTGCTTTGCAAACTCTTCAAAAATCTGAAATTGGAACACTTGCAGATTTGTTTTATGAAAGTGTGGATTTCACTTTTATCAAAATACTGCAACAAATGAAAAGCAGCACTGACTCTGATTAATATAGATGAATACCACCAACAAAATACTATCAAGCCAAATTCAAGATAACATTAGAAGGTTCACATGTTATAGTCACACAGGGCTTATCACCATGATGCTCAAATGGCTGGTGCTTCCTCTGTCTCTGTCTCTCTTTGTCTCCCTCTCTGTCTCTCTATTTCTCTCTCTCTGTCTCTGTATCTCTGTTGCTCTCCCTCCCTCCTTCTCTCCCTCTCTCCCTCTCCTGGTGTGTGTGTGTGTGTGTGTGTGTGTGTGTGTGTGTGTGTGTGTGTGTGTGTGTGTGATTCAGATACATCAACAAAACAAAGGTTAAAAGCTTTGCTCATCTCAAAAGACATAGAGAGAGCACTGGACAACATTTGACATCTGTCTTAGGGTTTTGTTGCTGTGATGAGACTGCCATTCAGATAAAGTTTCCATCATTCAAGATGAAAAGTTTTTACCAATATGGTGTATGATGAAGGGTGTGTAATTAGCACTGTGAGTTATATTGCACTGTAAACAACTTGAGGATTTTTATATAGTGTGTTTCCTGCTGTGGGTTTTCTGTGGTAACACTTCAAAATCCAATAGAACAAAACTTTCAAAACTGAGAGAAAACAATGACCAGCAAAGAGGATCTCAGTCATAATTGTGTCCATTTTTGTCTGGTTTTGAAGAGGAATCTGATTTATTTCACCATGAAAGACTGGATAAGTAGAAACTTGGAGGGATGTGCATGCAGGTCTTGTTAGAAACATAATGAAAATTCAGTACATGTGTAGGGGCAGAGTATAGAAATACTCACTCTAGCTTGCCTCCCTCCCTGTTTTGGGGAAACAGAAAGACACAGCATGTGAGTCCGTTGGTGGGGTAGCACTCTTTAGCCAAGGGAGGCTTTCTGTGATAACATCCTTCCCACCCCTGTGTCTGTCTGAATAATGACGTGATTGTGGATTAGCTTGCTTTTACCTAGCAGCAGTCAGAATCCATATGTCTTGTTCTCTAGGACTCTTGTGTCTGAAGAGGTCAGAGTAGCCAGAAGTGGAGGCCCATTCCTGTAATCTCTGCTCTTGGAAGCTGAGGCAAAAGGTCATTGTCCCTCGGCCAGTCTAGTCTGCAATCTAGTCAGGCCCAGTATTTTAAAACCTAAAAGAAAAGAAAATCAGTAAAAGGGATATTTTTGGTGTTTGTCTACATGGGATTTCCTTTATTTTGAAACTGTCAGTAATGTAGACATGCTAATTTCCATTTAAGCATTAAGTCCACTACCTGTGATACTGGGTCAGTTTTTCCATTAGTATATCAATGTATCTAAAGTCGTAAAGTCCTTGGTGTTTTTTTCTGAAGGATTGCATGGTCATCTATGTTTGTGTTTTCTCTTTTTATTTAAAACTATAGATCATCAAGTTATTGGATGGAAAACGATCTCAAACTGTGGGAATCTTGATATCTAGTTTACATTTAGAAATGAAGGATATCCAGCAGGGTAAGTCTTTCCTCCCTCTGGCTTTTAAATTCTCTGTAGCTTTTCCATGCACGTTAATTAGCTAAGACTGCAACTTTATCATGACGTTTTTATATAGATATATGTGGAATTTCTTATTTCTCCCCTGTTGCTACATCATCCCTCCTGAATTTCCAGCCGGTCCATTTCTTATTCCCTAACAGTCCTCCCTTGAAAGTTTTCTGAACATTCTGTTGTGAAAATTTCAACATACCTAAAAGTTAGAATGTCTGGTTACCAATACCCAGTTAAAATCCATTGTCACTTTTTGATATAAGCAGTCCCTCTACCCACTAGATTGTTGTGAAAAAGATCACTCAGACATTTTGCAATTCATCTTGCAAAAACATTAGTACTACCAGTAAAAGGTGAAGGGATTTTCCAAAAATACAACTGTAGTGCCATTATCTTGTCTTAAAAATGATTAATAAAAATTTCCTGGTATCTTCATAGATGTAGCTATTACTTCTCGGTTGGTTACATGCGTGTTAATGCACCCTTTCTTTGTCACCTGTCTTCAGTGAGGATCCCAACAGATGTCCTACATTGTCATTGACATGTGGCTTATGTTTCTTTTGATGTGTATTTTTCTGCCCCAGTTTTCATTTTGAGTTTTACCTTGGCAATTTATTTGCTGAGGGAACACACTCACTTTTTCATTTTCATTTTTTCTTTTTCCTTTTTTTTTGATTTGTTTTGTTTTTCGAGACAGGGTTTCTCTGTAGCTTTGGAGGCTGTCCTGGAACTAGCCTTTGTAGACCAGGCTGGCCTCAAACTCACAGAGATCCGCCTGCCTCTGCCTCCCGAGTGCTGGGATTAAAGACGTGCGCCACCACTGCCCGGCCACACTCACTTTTCTTATAGTTTCCCACTTTGATATTTTGCCAATTATGTGAAAATGTTTTATCTCTTACACTTGTCTAGTCTCTGTGTTTCCTGTATTAGTTTGGTCTAGATTTACACTGGGTAAGTGAGGAATTCTTCGTAGATGCTGTGTGTTATATATACATGACTTCTTCAAAGTTAGTATTGAGTGGTTCGGGAGGTTAGTTGGCACTGAGGATTTTTGTCTAGGTTTATTCCTTCATTAGACATATACAAGATATTAATGTATGGATTCAGTCATTTCTTCGTCTTTAGGCGGACTATGTCTATATAGAGAAACACATAGCAACGGCTGATTTTGCCATTGTTCCATCTCCACCCCCTCCCACTTCTTTCTTCAAATGACAGTCTTTTACTTCATTATCTTTGGCGCATTCTTAAATAAAAGAATTTGAAGAGGTTGATGCAAAGACTGGCTAGGAGACAAAATGGAATTGAGAGGAGGCGAGAAATATCCCACCTTAATTTCTATACTTGAAAATTTTGTCTTTCATATTGGTTCCTTAGAAAGACATATGAACAAAAATAATTTTCAGAATCTGAACTCTAGAAAGATGTCTTACTCAATAAAATGCCTATCAATATAAATTTTAAAAGATTTATTTATTTTTATTTTGTGTGTATAGATATTTTATATGCATGGATGTCTGTGTACCATATACTTGCAGCACCCATGTAAACCAAGAGGGCATTGGGTCTTATGGGACCAGAGTTAATCAGTTGTTATTCACCATGTGGGTGCTGGGAACTGAGCCCAGATTCTTTATAATAGGAACAAGTGCTCTTAACCACTGAGCCATCTCTCTAGCCCCTTTTTATTATAACTTTTAAAAGAATAAGTTCTATTTGTATATATTTTCCTTAGTAAATGTAGACCAAAAGACATCATGCTTCTTGTGTCTTACATTAAAACAATATTCCCTTTATCCATGCATCAATTAAATGTAAGTCTTCATTTAAATGTGCCACTTGTGACATCTTCTGAGTGGTAGTACAACATATGAGGGGGTTTCAGTACAGTTGAGCATGGGTTTGATGGCACAAACTCTCTAAACAACCCTTCTCTTAAGGTGTCAGCCCCTGTTGCCCAAAGTCATTTGACCCCCACCACTGCTCAGGAGAAGGCTCCTGAAGACACTAAAGACTCTTTCTCACACTGCTTTTCCTTTCAAAATGGATTTGGTTGGAGAAGAAATTTTTCTACATTACAAAAAATTGAGTTTATTAAAGATAACAAAATATTTTAAGTAAATGCCAGTTACAGGGTATTTGAATAGGCTGATTTAAAAAATATGTTTGACTTAATAATAGAATCAAACATGTCAGTGTGAATATTAAACTTGAAAAATATTATAGTTGATTCAGTTTGGAACAGTTTCAAACACCCTTGTGTTTGATCGGCCTTCTGTTAAAATTAAAGTTTTTATTGGCTTTAGAAACTTCTAAATTTTAGATCTGGATGTAATCTTTTGATGAGAAACTACCATATAAGTTATAGCCATTGAAATGAGAAGATTCACCAACTGTGGTATAAGAGTTTCACTATTAACTTGTACTTCTCACATGCTTGGTAGACTCCAGGGAGATTTGATTTTTATCTAACACTGTAGATATGAATTTTCCAGCTTTCAACATCACCCAAAACTTTGTTCATTTCCTTTTGCGTATGTATCACCGAGAATGACAGATTGCCATATAGATAAGGGACATTTGAGTCATGTGATATAACAGGTGCCAACTCGGGACCATACAGTTTTCCATGCCATTACAGTCCCTTTGGACTGGATATTTATTGTGGACAAGATTTTAGTTTGTTTGGACCTTCCCAGTTCTCTGCTGTAGTGAAGAACATGTGCATCTTGCAAATGTGAAGCAAACATGATCTTTCATTTCAGCATTGGAAACCCTAATCATAGAATCACAGAATTCTATATCTTGTATGTATGATTATAGACTTTCCCTGCCACAAACATCTTTGTTACTGTGATAGTTTAGATGTAATTGACCCCCATAAACTCATAGGGAGTGGTACAATTAGGAGGAAGTGTGTCACTGTGGAGGCATTGAGGTTTCCTATTCTCAGGATACTGCCCAAGGTATCAGTTGACTTCCTGGTGCCTGCAAGGACTCTCAGCTACTACCATGGCACCATGTCAGCTTGCTTGCCACCGCGTTCCCCACCATGATGACAATGAACTGAACCTCTAAACCTCTGGGACCCTAAATTAAATGTTTTCCTTGTGTCTCTTTACAACAATAGAAACCCTAGCTAAAATTGTTATTCTCTACACAGTTGGCTCCTAAGTTCTAAACAAAAAAAAAACCTAATCTCCAAGTCATTTCTTTACATAATAATATATACCAGATGAATATAGCAAAATACCAAGGCTATGTTATTGAATTATCACTTTAGAGTCATTGGCTGACACTGGTATCTGAATGAGATTTCATTCTGAATCCAATCTTATTGTGAATGGAATATACCTTCCACCTTCTAGACATAGGACCATATTTGTCAGGGTGCAAAGACAAAAGGCATTGATTTATTCAGTGTCTCAAGAAATAGTGTATATGACCTGAAATCCAATACATAAAAGTTCACATTTATTTCACGTGTATTCTCAACTACAGCATTAGAAAAATCCAGGCCAGCTACTATCTTGTTCACCTCACAATGAATAGTCAATCCAATGAGACTGTAATGCCATGAAAATGTTTATGACTTATAGTTGGTTAACTGCAGTATCACATGACTCAAAATGACCCTTATCTATGTGGCAATCTGTCATACTCACCAGGACATACGCAAAAGGAGCTGGATAAAGTTTGTTATACGCAAAACAGTGACCATGCTTGCTCACTGTTTCCTCCATGTCTTGGTCTCCACTTGATAATTATGTGTATTTATGCTATTTCCCAAGTAAGATGTGATCTGTACTCCAGCATATGCATAGCAAATACAATAAACATATTTTGAATAAGAGACAGGTAGATGACAGTATGAGTACAAAAAAATAAGCATGGGCAAATTCTGAAAATTAAACACCTGATTCCTAGAAAATGTACTCTTCAGCTTGCTAGTAGAGTGACCTGTCAGCATCCGGAAGCACTTCAGGGTTTCTATTTTCTAAATGATAATGGCTTTTCAATATGTCCTGCTGAGATTACAACTCTACCTACCTACCTGCCTACCTGCCGACCTACCTACCCACCCACCCACCTACCTATCTGCAGTGCTGAGGATCAAACAGACAACCTTGTGCATCCTTGGTATTTGCTCTACCACTGAGCTACACTCCCATGTGCTACCATTTGTGTATCAAGTTTACAAGTAAGTAATCTGCTATTTACTAGGTTAGCTTTTTGAAGAGCAAACTTATTTGCTTTGTTTTGAAGCCAAACCCTTCTCTGTGATCAACTATCTATAAATAAGTTGTCATAATATGAAATTATGGTATTCTAAATAGCAAGACAGCACATAACAAAGACAATTCTATCAGGTTGAATAAGTTCTCTGATTGTTAAGCCCTGTTTACAACTAGATGAACTGATGAATGCAAATCACATCTGAAAGTCTTATTTTCATGTTAGCTGAATTTCAATTTTGAAAAAAGATTAAACATTATTATACTAAATAGAATAGATTCTGATCCAGTGCCCTAACTAAAGCAAACCACCTTCCTGCCTTGCCTTTGGTATGTACTGAGTACTAGTCCTGTCAGGTACCTCATTAGGATCAGACTCCAAGCATCCTCAGGAGCCACTAGCTGTGTGATCAGCCAAAGGTTCCAAAGGCCCTGAAATCACAGCCATGGTGTCCTGTAGGGCTTGAGATGAGTCCTAGAGGTTGCCCTGGTGATCACATTAGGGAAAGGGGCCTTTCCAAGTGAGGAAAAGGCATGGGACAAGACAAGTGAAAGGGAGGCCTACAACTGCCGTGTATGGGCATCAATCAAATGCAGCTTGTTGCAGAGTCTAAGGCTCGAATCATGAGCAGCATGTACACCAGGAAGAGCACTTCATCATTAGAAGGGATCTGCATATTATTACATCAGAAACAAAGACATGTAGGGTTCATAGTACTATGATCTGAGCCT